CATTTTCTAAATTTACTCTGTATTTGCTTGTTCATCTCTGAACTGGAGTATTCTGGATTCCTTGGCAGTCACTGTACAGACCTTGGTTTCTTTAGAGCCCATTATTCAAGTTGTTATATTTCCTTGATTCTTCAGATCCCTTTTGTTTTTGCCTTAGTGTCTGAGCATTTGAAGACCACCCATCTATTTTAGCCTCCATAGGAATTTTTTGGCTGAGGTAGACTTTCACTACGTAGTAGATCCTGGGATTTGGGATAGGCCAGCTAACAGTATTGATGACCAGCCTGCCCTTACTATTGGCTTCTCTACTCAGACTGGGCCTCATCCTGTGCCTTGAGCATAGGTAGGACTGCTAGCTGGAATCCAAAGTCCACAAAGACCACCAACAGTGGCAGCTACTGGCTAGACTTTGTGATCACTTTAAATCAGGCAAGGTTTCAGTATTTCTTGACTGGGTGATACCACCTTTGGAGCAGGTCTGCAAGCTGGACTCTGAAGGTGACTCACTGGAGTTTCTCCTTAGCCTCTCAGGATGGCAAAGATCAGAGTCCTTATGTACAACTTTGTTGGGGACCTCTGTTATGCAAAGTAGAAGTCCCTTCATGACCGGACAGCTCATGCAGCTCGGGATCATGTGCTGAGGGCTCCTTTCATAGCAGGGTGCCTTCCTGGCATCTTTCCTGACTCTCCTTTTGAAGTGCCCGCCACAAATGCTCTAGCATAAACATGGCCTTTGGCTCTGAAAGGTACCATGCTTTCCTGTGTGATTTTTCCAGCAGACAGCAGTCTGGCAGAAACCCACTTCCATATGTAAATAGAATGCCTCACAAAGCATCTAACAGCCAAAGCTTTTACCACTACCCCCATGGTATAAGTATCCTAGTTTTCTCTTAATAGAGAGAGAGCTGGGTCACAGAGCTGCTGAATTACTGAGAGCAGAGACACTTAATAAAGCTGTAACACAGACTAAGCCGAGTCTTGAGTCCTGTGCCTTACTACCGGCGACCTAGCCTCTCCGGGGGGTGCACTCCCCCATGACCGACTTACGGACATCCTAGCTTTCGCTGTCCTCGTACTCTTCCCGTGGGGTTCAGTGGCCAGTGGATCTCGCATCCTGAGGAAAGTACACGGGTGGAAAAGGGACAGGATTCGGCTGGACAACGCTCCAGTAGCAGAGAGACTTTCAGCACCAGAGACGTGCGGACAGAGACACGGGACCCGAGCCTGCGGGAAAAGCCTGTGGGGCACCCGCCACCGCGGCCAGAGACGCCTGTGGCCAGACCCGTGCCATGACTAGCCAGGTGTGGCGGGGACCCCGAGATACCCGCGCACACCACGCCTGGGGCCCAGAGCACTCCCTGATACCCGCGCACACCACGCCTGGGGCCCAGAGCACTCCCTATACAACTTGAGACTGGGCATAGGCACTGATTCAAATGTACCCTGAAAACTGACCAGATAAGAACAAAATGAAGAGACCTACCAAAGGGTGTGAACAAAAGTCTATAGAGTCAGGAGCAGTCATGCTTTTTTGAAGTTCCCAAGGATATTAGAATATGAATTGCTTGCCTGAGGACAGATGAAGGAGCCTCCTGCTTGCAGTGTGTTGTACCAAGCATTCATTCGAGGAGGCAGAGTTTTGAAACCCTAGTCTTGAGTTAGAAACAGAAGAAAACAAAATGAGCTTGCCATGCTTCCTTGCTACTTCTTAAATTTATTCTTGACCATGATATTGGTCAAGATCCTTAATGTGGATCGGTAATCATAGAACTCTAATCATCAAGTTTAGAAAGTGTTGACTTAGCATTTTCAGTTATAATTCTTGATATTTATAAAGAAATTCTTGGGGGCTAAATATCTTCATAATGTAGATATTTGAAATGCCCGTATAAGAACCAAAATCTAAAATATATTTATTAGGTTGCAAATGTGCATGGTAAGATGCATTTTGTTTTCATGTACTGAAACTGGTTGCTTGTCACTGTCTTTGTTCTTAGAATTTTGATCATTTGAATTTTTAAAAAATAACATGGGCTAGGTGGATCTCTGTGAATTCAAGGCCAGCCTGGTCTACATAGTGGGTTCCAGGACAGCTGGGGCTACAGGGAGACCCTGTCTCAAAAAGACCAAAAAAAAAAAAAACAGAAAAAAAAAACATGAAAACCTATGAAAGAAACATTTTTACTATTCATTTCCTCTAATAGTCATGCTTTAACTAATCTTTAAGGCTGACCAAAAGGTAACCTGAAAAGTAGGCATTGTGTATCTATGTGGAAATGAACAAGCAATATGAATTGGCCAGTGTTCAAATGTTGTCACATTAACTGACAGTTGCCTCAGGAAAAAGTATTTTCCTAAAGTCACCCCCAAATGTGCAGGCTATAAAGGCAAATGAAATACTACTGCCTTGCTCAGGGTAAAAGATGCCATTTTCCTATTATTCACTCTTTACTGTTTATAAGATCATCTCTTTTCTATAATGTATAAGATAGCATTTCTGGAGGACATCTGTGGGAAATGTGACATTACTGGCAAAAATGATAGATAAAATAAAAGATTGCATTGAGTATGTTGTAAAGAATTTAACACTAAATGTTGAAGATTGTACATTCAGCAAATCTTGAACCAACTTGAATACCAGTTGTCCTTTTCCCCATTTGATTATTGTATTCCTCTGTTTACCAAGCTTGGTGCTAAATAGTCGCCATACCTCTGAGAACATGGGGATGCATAACAGTGGGGGAGACACACATGAAAAAATAGCCCTAATTAAGGAGTCCATTGGAGAGCCTGAAAGTGATATGTGCTATAAGTTAAAAAATAAGAAGCAAAGCAGGACTTGAAGACTCAGGAGCCTGGAATATGGGGCCAGGGATCCATAACCTGACATTTAAAATAGGTCATCTGTTAGCCTCAGTATAAAGGTTTTAGGACTTTGAGAAGGAAGCCCTGTGACAGTCGGGGCCGGGGGGGAAGCATGAGACCCAAGATAAAAGCACTTCCAGCATGTTACAGGCCAGCAAGGATTAAGGTGGTTGGAATGGTCCTGGTGGTCAGGCAGAACAGGTAGGATGAACTGGGAGAGGTGGAATTGGATCTTGGGAGGCCTCAGGGAAGTAGTAGTCTTTGGGTTTGCTTATATTACTGAACTGTATCCTTAAGAATGAATTGCTAATGTGTGAATTTTATATTTTTATATTTTAATGTACTCACAGTGTTAGACAATCATTATCAACATAGTCTATTTTAGAACATTTTCATCTCTCCCAAAGAAACCATACCCTTTAACAGACATTAACCAACCCCGTCCTCAGACTCTCAGTGCACCACTACCTGCCCACTAATCTATTTTGTTTTCCTATGGATCTGCCTGTTCTGGAAATTTTAATAAAAGTGAATCGTATAATATGTGGTATTTTATGATGCTTAGTATAATGCTTTCAGGATTCACCCTTGTTGTAACTTATATTAGCATTTCACTTGCTTTTATGCTGAATAATATTTCATTTAATAAGCATTTGTCAACTGAATGTTTATGGGTATTGTGTAAACTCTAGTGGATGGACCCATGCTGAAATCACTTGGGAACATGAATTTGACTTAATAGGCCTTAAATATATATTATATATAAATCAGGTGGGAGGTAGTTAAGAGGGGTGCAGATAAGGGTGTGAGAGTTAAATATGATCAAAATAATATTTGCAAAAATTTGATTTAAAAACTTTTAAAAAGAACACTTACAACTCAAAAGTAAATAGGTAAATAAACCTGGTTTTATTTAAAGGTTAGGGATCCAAATAGACTCTGTTCAAAAAAAAACATATATAAATTTCCAACAAACAAAAAATGCTCAAGATCACTGTCATTAGGGAACTACCAGTGAACATAAGAAGACTGGGAGGGGAATCATGGAGTAGGAAGGGTTAAATGGGATGGGGAATCAGGGGGCAGGGCAGTAAAGAGAGAGATAATTAACAGAAATGCCTTTAGGAAAAGTCTTATGTAAGCCTACCACTCTAGAAGCTTCTTTGTTGTTGTTGTTTGTTTTTTTAAGACCACAGCTGGCCTGGAACTTGCTGTGTAGTTCAGGCTGGCCTCAATCTCACAGAGATCTGCCTGCCTCCAGGGTGCTGGGATTAAAGGCATGCACCACCACCCAGAAGACTCCCTTTTTTGAAACTGTTGATCGGGGGTTCTATAAACCCTCAAATAATACTGGCCATTGCCCCTGATCTTGGTTACTTAACTTGATGGTAAGCCCCTATTGCTGAAGACACTACATACATGAGTTGTAGAAAAAACAAGGATAAATCAAGCTGGTAGTGACCTCAAAGCTTCATCTCTACTAGCTAGCTTTCATAGTGCTGGAAAGTGCTATGCATGCTACCTGAAGAGAAAAGTAATGCTCAACCTGACCCAGCTGTGGATCCTGCAAGCTACAACAACTGACCTGGCAAGATATGCCCACTGGTGCAATAGTGGCAAGAATGTTACAGCAGTAACCAACCTCTTTGTGATTGGATTTAAGGTCCACTTTACAAGACAGAGCCCATACCTGACACTGATATCAGGTTTAGGAACCTGTGGCTAAACAGGTCACAGATCATACAGCAGAGTCTACTACTATTATTCTGCTCAGTGGACATAGTATTAAACTGAGTTGTAAGTGTTCTTTATGTGCTATAGATATATTTCATGATTGGGAAATATTTCTACCATTAAGTACATACTAATGGCTAAATAAAATCATGCTGAATAAATATTTGAGTGCTAAAATTATATTTCCATTATATTGTTATAATATTAGAATATAATCAGGTATACACCAGTTTTTTCTTATTCCTTTCTTTAAATTACTAAAGTATACTAATTTGTCATGATTTTATCACAATTACATTCATCATTGATTTTTGAGGTATTTAAGATCTCTCATTTTAATGAATGGACAAAATTTAAAACTATGGAATATGAGATATTTTATTTGGTTTTTAATTTTGTAGATGGAAAAAGTGGAAGCAGACCTAACTAGATCCAAGTCTCTTCGTGAGAAACAATCAAAGGAGTTTTTGTGGCAACTGGAAGATATCAAACAGCGTTATGAACACCAGGTTGGCCTTTCATTTTCCTGATACCATTTAATTTTTAATATGTATATAACCCTTTCGTAAAACATCTCTATGTCAAAAAATCTCTGTATACTAAAAGTATTGCTATTGACAAGTTATTTTAAATATTTAATGTATTTTAATAAAATCCAAACATAAAGTTTTAGCACTATACTGAAGCCTATTCTGACAGTTTATAAATTTGAACATTTAATTTCAAATTTTATTGTGATTCCTGAATTCTTCTGTTCCTCTCAGAGCCCTAGTTTGACTTCACTTTTCCCAGGATGGTGGTGAGTACCTGCAAGGAGCCAGGTTCTGCTGCTGGCACTGGACAGTGGCAAGAAGACTAGGTTCCTTTCTGCCAGCATTCTACATCTTGGTAATCAACCCATGAATAGATGTGAGGTGATTCTGGAGAGTGACTCGGGAGGACAAAAATATGCTCATAGACTTTGCTGCAGAAGTGGGAGGATAAATAGGTGATCAGAGAAGCACCGACATTCCTTTTGAGAGAACTCCTGAACCTTGAGGGTGCTGCCAAGAGGTCTCTGAGGAATGACATTCTAGTCTGAAAAACAGAAAGCTATACGATCTCAAGAAGAATAGTAAGCTGAGAGTGTTAAAACTGACCAGGAGAGCAGGTTAGCCAAAATGCAGTGAGAAAGGTTCTTAGCTATGGGACTGAGGGGAAGAAGGCCAGACTGATGGAAGTCTAGATTTTAAAAAGAAAAAGGGCTAGAGAGCTGGCTTGGTGATTAAGAGCACTGACTGCTCTTACTGAAGACCTGGGTTCTGTTCCTAGCACCCACATGGTGGCTAACAACCACCTGTAACTCCAGTTCCAGGGGATCTGACGCCCTCTTCTGACCTCCGAGGACATTGCATGAGAAGGGTGCACCTACATACATGCAGACAATACACCCATACTCATGAAATAAAAATAAATATTTTTTAAACATTAAAAAAGAAAAAGATCTTATTTTCTTTCTAAAAATCCTATCTTTTCCCAGAATATTTAAGTACTATTAATGCTTTACTTATCTAATTTGCATGTCTTATTTCTTTAATATCTGTGATAGCTAGTTTAGTAACTTAGGTTGAGAAATTTATTTCTAAAGATATTTTAACCTTTGAAATATTAAAATAAGAGTAATTTTTAAAAAAATTATTATTTTTACTTTATATGTATGAGTGTTATGCCTGCATGTAAGTAAGTACACCCATGTTGTGCAGTGCCCACGGAGGACAGAAGAGGCTGTTGGATCCCCTGGAACTGGAGTTACATATGGTTGTTAGCCACCATGTGGGTGCTGGGATTTGAGCCCGCGTCTTCTGCAAGAACAGTCAATGTTCTTAACTGCTGAGCCATCTCTCCAGCCCCTAAAATATAATAATAGTAATTTTTAAATTATATTTTAAGCTCCATTAAGCACAGACTATATCAAAACTAATTAATCCCTTATGATCACTGAATTTTATTTTCTGTACTAATTGATAGCAATTAGTGGTTTACTTGAATTCAGTAAAAAGCAAGTCTGATGTAGTATGTACCCTTCAGGTTGTTATTTTACTCTTAAAATATTAGAAAAATAACTGACTGAGGTCTTTTCATAGGATTATAATCTCAAAATAAGAAGAGAAAATCTTGTGACTAGAATCTGACAACCTTCTTTGTCCTGTATAGTCAAATCACGTCTGGTCTATAAGATCTAACCAGTCTTCAGCTTTCTGTCAGGCCAGGTGGTGCAAGCTTTTTAGCCCACATCAAGTTTTTGTTTCTCTAGATTTGTAGCATTATTATTTTGTACCTTAAATCTATTCTGTTTTGGAAAATTGTCTTTTATAACTCAATATTATTAATCCTAAGTAGTGACATGACCTGCTCAAAGTCACATACTAAATAGTGTATTACAAAGAACATTGACATATGTTCTTTGGAAACAAATGGAAGAGAGGAGGGGGCTCTCCTAGAGAAATACCTACACATGTGTAGAGAAGCATGGAAAAGAAGGGCCTCCTACAGAAACAACCACACGTGTGTAGAAAATCACATTTGTGTGTTTGAGGAAGATTATTTGGAGTAATAGAAAGTTGTAAATAAAATAAATGATAAATGAACCATGATAAATATGTCTGATGAAATGCTATGCAAAAGCATACAGATTTCTGGGCTATATTGATAAAGGGAATAAAGTACATTTTGAATACTTTGTAGATGATCTCATTTATGTAAAATTAAAGCACATGTGTCTGTTTCATGTAGTTAGATATATAAATTCAGAAAAAAAAATTTTGATAGGTCATATTTCTATGGAGTGGACACGAACTTGTGGGTTAGTGGTATAATGAATTGACATTTTTGTTTTATGCTCTATGTAAGCCTTTGTACTGAAATTAACAGGTGAGCATTTGTCAACTTATCTAAGTAATCTGACAAAGGAACAGGGGAGGAAGAAAACAAAACTTAAAAATGTTTAACTCAAATACTAATCTGAATAGTTAAAATATAGGGTTGAAGAGTTCCCTATAAGAGATTTAATTTGATCTCTTCATTTTGATGACAATGGTGAAAATAACAAATATTTGCCAGTATAGTCAAGTGACTTCAGTGATTTGTACTTATGTTTTGATTGTTTTGGCACAATTCTGGATTTTTGAAGTTGGATATGCTACGAAAAACCACCAAAGAAAACTTAAACATATTTGTTTAAGTAAAAATTATTTTGTCTCAAAACTATAGTATAAAATTTATAGTAAATATTTTTGGCAAAGTGGTTATTAGATTAATATATTTACAATAAATACAAATAATTAACAGGTATATAATTAGCATAAATTATAAGAAAGTCATTAATATGCCAATAATTACCTACAGAGAGACAAGAAATTCATAAGAACCATGTAGAGACATCTTCAGTGTTGTGTTAATAAAAATGAAAACATTAACAATGATATACCATTTAAGCTTGGCGAAATGTTAGAGAAATTGATACTTTCATATATTGCTTGTGGAATTATCAATTAATGCAACATTTTTTGCAAAGGTCTAGCACTGTCTACTGTTTCATAAAGAATGTTTATCTTTCTTGACCCAGGTGTCCTTAACCTTGAATATCAGACTGAAATATTTAACAATGTTTATTTGTTTCTTATGTCGTGGAATCATAGCTAGTTCTTTTTCTACTTTCTACATTGTGTCAATATCACTTTTAATGTAAACACATTAGTTGATTTATTTGGAAATATACTGAGACTTAAAGGCTTTTCACAGAATGATAGATTTAAAATTTTACCTCTTTTGTCTTTATATAAATAATCTTTGTCAAATATACACGACATAATAAAGGAAATTGGTGAATCCATTAAAGAATTGGTGCTATTAGGAGAAGCCATACACTATTTTATCAAATTTTCTGTATTTTTTTGTGAAAAAGAGGTAGATGGGTCAAAAGTAGATTGTAATAGGAATTTTAGGAACACGGAGAAGAAAATCTTAGGTTTGTGCGGATTTTACCCATTTTTACCTCCTGTAACTGTAATGTACTCACTGGAGAAATGCTGAGAGTGAAGGTCCTAGACAGTAAGGAGGAAAGGTGAAGGCAGTCGTATGAGGTAGTACTCTTAGGAGAACATGTATCAAGGTGCTAATATGAACTTCAAAATCTTTCTTAGCAGAAAATTTTATTGACTAGACTATATTCCCCAGAGCCACTCTAAAATTTTCAGGTTTTTTTGTATAGTATAGTATAATAGTGATCTATACAAGTCAGGATGAACAAGCCCGAAAGGAATCCAATTTAAACAAGCTCATTTCCTTCTCTGATCAGGGTAGCCAGGCTGGTGCCTAGGAAGGGGTAGTAGAGGCAGGAAGGAGGAACACAACTAGCCTCTCTGTTCTGCAGAGCCATGACAAGGTACTTCATGGGAGCAAGACAGGAGAATTCTCATAGTTAAGTGAGTTCACAGAGCCATCCCTAAATGATTTGCATCAACCTGAACTGAGATTTTTTTTTAAGGTGTCTGACAGTCATTGATGCTCTTTTAGAAGTCCTGAAGTTTATACTTCAGACAGTTCATTTGTGGGACCAGAAAACACCTCAGTTTTCTGAGACTTCAAAACAGGCTGGAATTAAGTAGGTTATTTATTGGGATTGAATATAAAGTGCTATGTTTTGTTTTAGAAAATTAGCCCCAAAAATCTGAGAGTGAGTGAGGGTAAAGAGGACAGAAAGAATCCCAGACCAGGGGAACATAGTACTCAGAAACATGGGACAGTGGATGAGGACCACATGTAAATAGACATCTCCACATCACGTAAGGAAATCAAAGTTCTCACATTTTAAGTAAGACAGTGACAAACTTGAATGTGTTCAATAAAGACTTTCTAGAATATAGCAAAGTTAAGAATTATGTCAAAGGGAACATTTAAAGAAATAGGTTATCTTACTAAGAGAAGACCATCGACAAGAACTTCTATTTTTACAGTAGACCTACAGTTCTCAGGACCTCCTCTGGACCATGCACTGCTCACCACATGTTCTGTGAGCTCAGCCACTTTTCACCATCACAATGCTGTGGTGAGGCAGGAACCTCTATTCATTATTCCCTTTTTCTGTATAAAAAGTGAGGCACATCCAGTTATGTTACTAGCTAGAGTTCCACACTGTAAGTGACAGATCAGAACTGGAACCAGAGCTGTTGCTCATAACTGACACTGACCCACTGCTGTGGAGTTCCAAGGACAGAAATGGAAGCCACATGCAGATGGCATTGTGAGCAGTTGGGATTATTTCAAGGTGGCTCTTTATTAGAGAATTATTTACATACACATTAATATGTCTTGTGAAGTTCATTTCCCAGTGTGAGCATGTTCAAGTGTCTTTTGGGAGGGTTGTGGAGGGTTTCTGTGCACTGGGAAAGTCCCTTTTAGATTGAGCACTCTGTGACTTTGAACTTGTCTGCTCTCAGCCCCTCCTGTGAGCAGTGTAGACTTGTCTGGA